GGGCACTGCTATCCTATAATACTCTGCCTACATCACAAGCTGCATAAAAATAGTACCCATAAAATATGAGTATCCATAAAATAGGTATTTTTCAGACCAAACAATTTACTAACACAACGTATAACTTGCCAAAATGCCCAAAGTCCTACGTGAATAGCAGGACTCAGAAACCTGGCCCTGGCTCCCAGCAACACTCTGCACACAGGAGAGAAACACCTTGCACTCATCTCCTCTCAAGAAAGACAGGGTGTGACCATGAGCGCTTCTATCATCCACAGTTTGTTTTCGAAGATTATAATTTGATTACGCTTAGGAATGGGGAGTTTATGTTGTGAAAATGTACATCTGGTAAGCCCTGACAGCAGGTGTGGCGGGGAGTTCACGGAAGAGTCTACAAACACTGCCAGTGACCAGCGAATAAACAAACATAAATACCCTGTTTACTAGAGAAGAAATTTGGATCTCGGTGAAAGTTAAGTCTGTTTCTTAAACACATGCACAGCTGCTGCAGGCAGGACACTGCCTGTAATGCCAGGCGATGTTTTCCGTCTCCTCCAAAGGCCAGTTTCAACAGAGATAAAAGGCTCTGAAATAAAGAAGAGCAATGAAAATGATCAAGAGAACAAAGTGCTCGACTTCAAAGAAGGATGTGGAGCTTAAGTGAGGTTAAATGAGTAACAAAAGAATGGTGATAAGTTGCCAAATATTTAAAAGACATAAGAAACAGAAACAGGCAGAAATGACTCAGCATAATGCAAGAGACGGGTCAAAGTAAGACAAAATTTAAACAGACTCGTCAGTGCTTCTCCTATCTGAACTCTTGTTAGGTGAATACCTATCCTGAAGAACACAGGAATTACTCCCCATTCGGGACATTAAGTTACATAGCACCTTTAAAAAAAAAAAAGACTTTTTCATCTCAAACAGCTAAGTCATTTTGCATGTTCTGATAATTAGCAGCTTTTCCTCTGCTATCACTCACAGCTGGGACAGTAGGTTTTAACAGCTGCCACTCATCAGCACCCATCTCAGCCCTGTGGCTGCAGAACACGGGGGCCGAGCCTTACCAGACGCTGGGGACACGCCACAACCCCAGCCCTGGGGCCCGGTCTCCCCACTTCACACACATGCAATGAATCGCACTGCAGGGAATCCGTCTGCACCGCTCACCTCTACCACATTCCCGCAGCGCCTGGCACCGAGCCTCAACACCCAGAAACTCAGAGTGACGCTACTCTTACTATTAAGAAGGGTCACTGCAGCCCAACCTCGGTTCCCCAAGTCTGTTCTCCCCTCTAAGTGATCCATAAACAGTCAAACTGGACTTCATATGTCAAGTGAGACGACTTCCTACCAGAAGAACCACCATCCAAGTGAGTTAGAGAACAAGTGGTCTAAATAGCATAGCCGGAGTTCATCATTTCAACATGGCAGTACCAGTTTCCTCCCCATGGACTCCTACTTGGCAAAATGTGTTTCAGTGCAAAAAACTCTCTATTTCAAAATCTAAAACCATTACAGAGGAAACTCACCTGAACAATTTTTGGCCTCTGAAGGAAAATCTCCGCAGGAAAATCTTGCATGATAACATCTTTCAATAGCTCACAGGTGTTCCAGATTAAAGTGTGGTTACTACTTCTTAAAGAGCTACAACATATATAAAATACAGCATTATACCTTTATCAGATTCTAAGTGACCTAGTGGCATAATGACTCTATTCACCAGCCTTCAGGTCTCAGCTGAGACATCACTTCCCCTGGGAAGCCTTCCCAGATCTCTCCCCTAATCAATGAACGGCCCAGAGTGGGCGTTGCTCACGTGCCCATCATCTGTGCTTTGGTAACGGTCTGTTGACTTAGCAGCCCCAGCAGACCCTCCTCAAGAGCAGGGGCTACGCAGCACCCGCCACACCACCGCGTGCCCAGAGATGATTGCGATGCCCGGAAATGAGATCAGCGGAATGTGCTGAATGAATCAGGAGATAAGACAGAGGAAAAGACAGGAAGTACAGAACTCAGTTCTAAGAATTAGATTCCTCACTGCCCCTCCCTACTCGATGTGAATCAAGCTGGTACTCCTCTCTTGTCCCACAGAGAGGACACCCCTCAACTTCTCCCTGGACACTTGCCGTCCTGGGGATGAGGCAGCTGTTCACCTCTCACCCCAAGAAGCCAAACCCCATCTCCCAAGTCAGCTCCAGTCCACCCCTCCCCATCCACAGGCGTGCACCAGAGACCATCGCTGTCCCTCAGCCACCGACTCAGAGCTCACACACAAAACCACTCCCGCCCCTCCCCCGCGCCTGCCACGTCCCAGAACATACTGATGTTGCCTCAGAAGCGCCATCAGCAGAAGTCATTCATGCAAACACGCTTCTATCTGGCCTAACTTTGTAAGTTGGTCTTTATTTTTCAGATCCTCACCAAAAAAAGGCAGCCAACTCATTTGTTGTGACACTCGCTGAAACTGAGTTTCATAGACATTAAAACACCCTCCAAACTTCTAAATATCAGCTATCTACGTTTGGGGGTAACGACCAAATAAAATACATCAGATCAGATCAGAGGTCCTCAGCCATCTCCTAACAGAACCTATGTTTCAAAATATACTGCCTACTAAAAAGGCTGCACTTATGTTTAATTTTTCCATTTTTATTCACCAAATGCATAATCAACGGCCAGCAAGTCTATTCTGGTCAATAAGAGATGACTCGTGTCACTAAGGAGTGCACAGGGTTCCAAGCACAAGAGAGGAAACTGTGGTGTGAAGCCTGATTAGAGGCAAACAGGAGCTTTCTGGCTTGCTTCTGACATACTGAAGATCATTCGCATATTCCCTTCCATACCTATCACAGCAATCTAGTAACTCTTCTTCCTGGTGAAAATGTATAGTAATAATATAGTATAAACACCACATGCCAAAGCACCTGAGACACACCGGCACTGTACCTTTCATTGGAGGAGAGAACATGCCTGTCGGCTGTGGTCAGGGGGAGCCAAGGGAAGGTGGAGAACTTCAAACACTTCACAGTCCGGTGTGCTGTTAAGGGAAGAGCAACAGCTGAGGCATCGAAGCAGACGTTGACAGATTCGCAATGTTAAGAGCAAGTCCCCAAATAAAATTCCAGCTTACAGAACCCTAAAATATACCAAAAAGATCAGCTACAAATTTATTCCCTCACAGAACAAATAACAGATCTCTCTTTTCATAATTTAAACAGGACTCACATCTTATCAGAAGGGCGTTAAACACAAACCAATATTGAATGACATTTAGATTATCAATTAAATTTGTTTTACGCTGTGGCTGACCAGGAGATAGAGCTTAAACTTGAAAGGAACTGGCATTTGATCTTTAATTGTAAAAATGTAAAATGATATAAATGTAATCATATACTATATTTAATTAGTCATGTTCAAATATCCTAAACAGTGTTAGAGGTTTAAACTTCTTTGAAGATGACTTGACGACCATAAGGGTAAAGATCAAGTATCAGTGCTCAAACAAGATTAAAGAAATCCGAGAAACCAAAGCAGTTTTAAACTGCCTTACTTCAAATTATTTTTAAACAGATCTCATAGTGTACAAGTTAAAGTGGTAACACTGAGAAACAGGACCTACATAAGCCCTTCCAAATGGCAAAGTCCTCCTGCCAAATGCTTCGAGAAGAGCATGGAATCATTAAACTCAGATAACAGTATTATTAAATTTCCAAACACAGCACAGTTGCTTCTGTCCAAAGTGCTAACATAAAAGCAGGGTGTACTTTCTAAGGGAAAAGCAAGAGGTGGGTGGAGTGGAGGGAAGGACAGGCTTACGCTCTACACACAAAGATGTGTCCAAAATAAGCCACTCCATCCATCCACTAACTGCAACTCACATAAAAATGCGTTACCATCTCAGTCTTCCTGAGTCTTTTCAACAGGCTCGCTCAGTTACCCACCATTCCCAGCCCCGGAGATACTCCCTTCAGATGTCTCCCATTAGCACTCAGGCCTCAGTCATAAACACAAGGAGCTACCGTCTCAACACCGAGGATCCCTATACGCCTAGTAAAACTTTTCCAGAAAGGAAAGTATTTTAACAGCTGCACGAGTTTTCTGTTCTTTCTTATGCTGTACTCAACTTGAGAATTTCTACGAAGTCTTTTTAATAACAGAGGGCTTCCGAACCGAGTTACATTGAATACTTGACACCTGCAGATATACCCTTGGGACCAACCTTTTCATTTCAACTACACAGGCAATACAATGGGAAGTACACGCTTGCTTTCCTGCGCCGTGTGCCACCTAGTAAGTACAAAGGTATTATCCATTCGAAGCCCCAGTGTCCTCATCAGTTAAAGGGGGATACTGGTAATACCAGTCTCCCTGGGGCTCCACGAGGATTCATTCATCCTTTCAGAAAAGACACACTGAGTGCCCAGTGGCCCTGTTCTGCACAGCCACACTGGACAAAGCAGTGTTTGCAGCTGTCGTTAAGTTTACAAAGAGACAGACAAACACAAAGCAAATAAATACAGAATTTAATAAATACATATGGGAAGAAAACCAAATACAGAGAGTGATCACCAGCTAGAGTCCTCAGGAAGGTCTCTTTGAGGAGGTGGCACATGAGCAGAGACCAGCCACAGCCAGACACAAAAAGACCTGGGTGAGATTCCAGAGAGAGGCTCTAAATCAGAACTCCACTCAAGTGAGTACTGGGATAAAGATAACTGAATAAACAAAGATGATCCTGAGTCTGGCTTGAGAAACGGGGTGGACAGCACCACTCAGTGAGCAGGACAGTAAACGTGGTGACAGGCATGGTGCCCAGCACAGTCCTGACAAGGACGTCAACATGCAGCAAGTGCCACCTCGCCGCTCCCACCCATCTAGACAGCTGCTCCAACGCAGTGAGAACGCCATCAAGTTTTACCGCTTAGACTCCATGTCCTAAACTAAGCTGAGGAGACATTCAGTTTGGTGCTGAAACATTCACGTCTGACCACAGTATGTCTTCACAACTATAAGGAAAAGTACCTTAATTTCCAATTTACCAGGTCAGCTTCCCTACAAATACACACCCATGGGTCGTAGAGGCTCCTCCATCTGCTGGAAATTACTTTTGTCCTGAGGAAAATACCCTGTTAAGGTTTCAGGTTGTTGTGGCAATTCTGAAAAGAAAATATATATGACTGTGTTATTGACACATTATTTGCTGAAAGTGAAACTTGCTCTTTTCAAATATTAATGGTTTCTCTAAGTGTTAGAATCATTTTAAACAATAGAAAAATAACCCAGTTTTGTTTCTCTGACTAGTCTGTCTTCCTAAAGAGGATAAAAAATATGAATACTGAGTCAATTTCGAATTTAGTTTTTCTTCCCCCCTCTCCTTTACGGTTAAGTAATTACAATTATTTGCTAGAATGAAAACATCCACAATGTAAATAATGTTACAAGCTATTTATTCAAGGACTGCTTTTGAGTCCATTTCTCTTCCCTCTTTTACTCAATATAGTTCCTGATCACTTCAATTTTCGTTAATGTTTTTTAAGAAAAAGTTGTCAAAAGCAAGAGTCAAGCACTATCTTTCAGTACCTCTGGCGACTCCCCATCACAGACGACATTTCCTGCAGTTCAGATGTAATGAGATAGAGAAGCAAGGAAAGGCCAAAACTGCATCTCGTAATTTTCTGTTTGAAGTTTTCATGCCAGTAGTTCCTGATACTAATTCAGAGAACTAAAAATTAACCCTAGACCAGACCTCTAACCTCACCCGCAAAGAACTAGGTTGAAAATTCATGACTTTAGATTGTACTTTATTTGCTGTGGCTTAGACAAAAACTGTAAAATACGGTGTTAAAAATCACTGTCGCACGGGAACTGGACATATGGTAGCTGCCACTGCTGCTCTAGTTAACAGCAGGACCAACGGCGGCAGTCATGGCCATGGCCGTGAAGCACTGGTATACAGAAACAACAAGGTCTAACAGAGTACAGGAGCAAAAACACGTCTTTTTATACTTTCATCACTCACTCATAAATTTCATGTGCAATTTTTTTTCTTCAAATCAATTCAAATGCTTTCCATGAGCAGGACACTAGACTGGCTATCAAACAAGAACAAGTAACAGCAGCAAACAAGACTTCTGTGCTTAATAGATGCCAGGCCCTGCGCTGAGCACCGTCCAGACATCATCTCATTAATCCTCACAAAACTTCTATAAGATGTTCTTGCTTATTGTCCCAGTTTTTGAGAGAGAAAACTAAAGCCTGTAAGGATTAAGCCCCTTGGCCAAGGTAACGCAACTAGTGAAAGAACTGGGACTTAAACCTACGTCTTTTTGACTCTGACGTCAGCCAGTATACCACGTGCAGCTCTTTTTGATTGGAACCCATAACAAAACCATGAGCTAGCGCAGCATCATCACACCCCTGTATGAGGAACCCAGCCCAAAAAGGCAAGTATCAAACATTTAGAACACAGTCGGGCACAAAATAATGAGTGCTCGATGAAAATCTGTTATTATTTTAAAAACTAATCTGTCAAACTAGTCTCACGAAAAAGAAAATCACTTGCATCTTTTATGTCCCTTGACCAAAAACAGCCAAGATACACACATACCCTCTCTAAAACACGAGAGGAAGGGAATTAAGGTCAAATTCATGTACATTAATGCAGGGAAAATAGGTTGCAGGGGAGTGTTCTTTTTTTTTTTTTAATCTAAGGTCCATTAACCATTAGGACCAGTATACTTATATTTTAACAGATTGATTTCATCAGGTTGATTTCAAAGAGTTACCAGTTTGACTGGTTTGGTAAGATGCAGAATAAAGTTCAGGAACTTCCGAGGGAAGAATAAAAAGTCCATCTAGAACGCCATCAATTTCAGCCTGTAGATTCGGCTCCACATTAGAACGAAGTTTAGATAAGAATTCGACTGCACCAAGATCGATCAAATGCTGGACTGCTGGGGGATACTGAAATAAGAAGAGAGGAGTCTTGAGAATAATGATGAATATTAAAATCCCTAGATTTTGTCTTACAGCAATGAAAACATGAAATTATTTTTGGAGTACCAGATGTTCCTTTTTTAAAACATAAATCTTGCAGTGATGTACATAAGACATAGATTTATGGAGACACACATAAAACATTTAATAACACGAGAGAAAAGCCAAGACAATGAACACTAGAAACGCACACTATCAATTCCTACTCTTCTTTATTAAATTGATTACTTCTCTCCACTAGCACTCATTCTGTCCTCTTCTACCTCCAACCTGTCAACAGATGCCAAAGTAATAAGTATGCCCTGAGACTGCGAAGTGATTTAGTTTGGAAAAGTTAAACTATCACTTTGGTATCTGACCCTGACAACCAACTACTCTCAGGACAGACTGAGAAACAAATCTGAAAAACAGATATGAGAAAAACAATTTAACATATTTGTACTCTATTATATTTGTAACATTATCTTTAAATGTGTCTTTTTATACAAACACATATAATTTTTAACAGAACATAAGGGAAAACAGAATGACAAACATTAACTTCCAAAGAGGATTCCAAAATTCAGAACATACCTGAAGTCAGAAGTTTTGTTACTTCAGAGCACAGTAGAGACAATGTTGATATTTAACATCGCAAATCAAAGGAGGATGCGCATTATATACCCAGATGAATTAAAACTGAACATCTCCAGTTGTTTTTTTAATCTTAAAAATTTAAATTTTCAACAAATGTTACAATTAAATGACTACGAAACACCCGCTCATTTACTTTATTTTAAAATGATCCTACCTTAACCAATCTGTTCAAAAGGCTCAGAACCTCTTCTTTCATTGGAACAGACGGGAAACTGAACCATTCCAGCAAATGGAGAAAAAGTAGCCTCTCCTGAACTAGATCAGCACAGCAGATTAAATTGTGCTCAATCTTGCAGAGAATATTCTTGAGAGCGCGTTCCCTGATCTCGGCCAGCTGATGACCTGTCAGAGAAGTACAGCACAGAGCTATTTCCCGACTCCAGTGGGACCCCACAGGGGATTTACCCTATAACTTCGTTATTTACGCTGGGGGCGAGCGCGGGGTGAAAAAGGAAAAAAAGAAATAAGGCAGCAAGCGGCCGGTGCACTGAGGCCGCCAACGGCAGAGTTCGCGCCGAGTCCGAGGTGGGTCCCCGGGGGTGCCCTGCCGAAAGCCGGACGAGAAAGGGAGCCGTCGCGGGGTGGCCCGGCCGTTTTCAGCAAGTGGCCACGACAGAGGGGCGCCCCGGGCGAGCGGCAGCTCAGACCGTTACCGAGTTTCCGGATGAGCCCCGCCAGGACCATCCCGTCCGGCTCCATCAGTCGCCGCCGGAGAATTAAACTGCCGCGCCACAGCGTCCGGCCACAATTACTGTCCCCCGAGAAACCCGGCCGGTCGGAAGGCGAGTTCCGCAACGCTTGAGCGAAGGACCCAATGAGTGAGAGGCGTTCCGAGAGCTGCTTCTGGCCCCGGAACCACCAGAGAAGCTTACAGTCTCTCTGTAATTACTACTATGCAGTTCCTAGGCAGCAGTCTCCTTCGTAGGAACTGGGAAGAATGCGGAGGCAAGCAGGGCTAGAACCCGCTCTGACCGCTGTGCACGCCGGGAGTTGTAGTCTTCGCCCTCTCGTGCTCCCCTCCCGGAATTCCGGCCCCGCCACCGCGGCCGCCCGCCTGGGGTTCCGGCGTCCAAGCGCGGGCGGCGGCGCGGGCTGCAGAGG